TGAAGCCAAGTATCCATACATTTGTGTTTCAATGACATGTTATGTAAACAAAATACAGGGAATTGTCTACAAACAAAATACAGGGAATTTCAACTCCATGCAATAGCATGTGTTCCCTCAATGGAAAGTGGTCTAATCTGATAGAGTTGCTTTGCTTTCAGCACAAACTCTCTTCCCTTACTTGACCATTATTGTATAGTATGATCAATGTAGTTTACAGAACTACAGTTTAAAAAATCCGAGTCATACCAGGTCATCTTCCAATGTTCACAAAAAAAAAAGCACATTACTGGCACTGAAGTTCACTGACCAACTACAGCTCTGATGAAGTAATCACAAGTTGCTTTTGCACACTGACTTCCATGTTATTAAACTGGCCTATTCAGAGGTCTGACACAAACCGTATGGTACCTGATAGGAGACACCATGATACTCTCAAATGAATGATGCAGAAAACAGACCTAAGCAAGGGGACAGACCCAGGAGATCATAATAGACAACAATATTAGAAGGGACTGGCTCATCAACATGAAGGAAAATTTCCTAGTTTGTCATTTTCTACCAAAAGACCAATTCATTGCCAGTGACAGGAACTAGTTGAGGAAGAAGCTGTACGCTAATAAGGTTGCAAATTCTTTTTTTCCCCTCATCAAATCTGAAGTTTTTTTCCAAACTAAAATACTGCCAAATAATTGTTACTGCTAATAAATTTATTGTTGGCTGTGGCATTGTTTATTTTTTCTTATAATAAGTGCTGTACTGGTTCAAGAACTACAGCGTAAAGTCAAAATCTTTTGTAAGTCAACTTCACATGCATGGGCATACACTGTGTTAGTAACAGTTTACAAGTCTGACTCATAATAAAGTAATTGATACATAAAAATAAATAAAAGTTGATGTACAAATCTATCACATGTTGGCAACCTACATGAACTGTTTAACTAATGAATTAGGCAAATCTGTGTTTCTCTAAAGTTTTAAAACATTAATTAGAATTTTTAGTATTCCTCTGTAAACGCAAGCTGTTCCATAACTGAACCAATGAAAACTTGCTTTCTTTTTCATTTTGCCCTTTCTTTTAAAGCTGTTGCCCGTATTCTGCTTCTTAGCATTCTGCTTCTTACCCTTTTTCAGGTATTTGTCTGACTTCAGAGCAAACTTGTCAACAAGAAACACCCAATCTTTAATGTCAAACCTGCAAACCAATCTTCCCCACCTTCCATTTCAAAAAACCTTCACACAACCCCCAAAACCTTCCCAGAAAAAAAAGCTACTTTCAACAAGGCTCATTTTCATAGAAACCAGAATCACAAAACTAGAGCTGCACACAAAGCCACTGCAGATAATGACATAGAGGTGTGTTGGTATCTTCAATATAAAGGTTGATTCTCCATGGTAGGTTACACTGAAACTGATAGGTCTTGAACTTTGAGTTTAAATACAGGGCTTATATGAATCAGGTACTGGATTTGCAGCTCCAAATCCATCACAAAATCAGAAACACTTCACACGATTTAGTATGTAAAATTATGTACATCATTAAAATGTACTCTTATTGTATCCACAGCTTTCTAAGGCAAACTAAGTAGAAGCTTATTATTTTCCTCTCTTTTATAGTGCTTGTTAAGTGACAATGTATTTATTTTATATTTATTAGAGCACCTAGGAACTTCAGGTTCAGTCCCCTTTCATCTCACCAGTACACCAACATTCTGCCATGTGTGTTTACAATATAAATCAAAGCTGTTATTTTTGCTGAAATGGAGTTCCACTAAATCAGACATTTTTCTTCTACCTGTTGGTTCACAATTTTTAAATACAAACACTCTCTATAAATTACTTTTTTTTTATGAATAAAGACATCTTGCAACTGTGTATCTGTATTTAAATCTACATTTCCTTCTGTAACAGCTAACTTCTAATATTCATGTAGTTTTTTTATATTAAATCTGTCCATAATCAAATATTGTACTTTCATGTCTCATAACATTTCCTTACCTCCCTCATAATACCAAGCCTTTAGTCTGCATTATATTGATATTTAAAGATGTGCAGCTGTCCTTTTACTTTTATAACATCTAAATGTCATAATTTATGCAGAATATTATGCATGAACTATTTAAAGATTTTGGTTTTGATCATAAAAGCCAAAGGACTGCATGTGAATAAAATGAAGGCATACAAGTTATTCTGAAGATGAAGCAGCCAACTTCTGGTATCTAGCTGTTCAGTAAACATTTTCATCATTTGTTATCAAAAGTTTTATTCAGTGCATTTCAATATTTATACCGGCATTAGTCAAAAAGAAGGAAAAATATTGGAGCCTTTTTTTTTTAAAGTCTTTTACACAGCTTGGAAATTTCTTCTTTTTCTCATTTACTGCTTCTAATAGGAACTGACTTTTCGTAATTTCCAAGATGTTTGCAAAAAGAAAAAGCAGGATTAATAGAAAACTTCAGAGAAAAGTGTTTGCTATTTAATCACTACTTTTAAAATACCATTGTTAGTGAAATCCTAATTTTCACTTTTGACTATCTACACACAATATTTAGCTTGCTAACAAAATTTTTCCCTTATAATATGAAGTTATGGAACGAGAATAGTATACACATGTCACTTTAATAACATATAACTGATTTCACAAAATAATAGCCGTTTGTCAGCTTTATGGCATCTCCAGCTTCATGCAGAAATTATACAATAAGGAAAAAGAATATGAATTTATCACTAACCAATATACTGCCTCAACACAGCAGCAAACTTTGCTTGCAATGATTCTATGAGTTTTGACAACTGAACACACAAACTTGATTTTTTGCCTAATCTGGCTTCAATATCTTTTATATTGCTATCAGTCTCAGAAAGGCAACTAAAGGGTAAAAGAATCTGCCACTTCTTAAAAACAGGTTATTTTATAAACTGCTTTTCAGTTCATAAAAACTGTGAAATGTAGAGATACATATCAGTCACCATTTTCTTAACATAAAATAATCCAACTCTGTGGGACCACCTCATAGAAGAGAAAAAAGAGCACAAGAAAATAGAAGTTAAATAAAGCTTAGAGGATCACAAAACCACAAAATAAACTGACTTCAGGCGTACCAAAACGATTCATCCGACCTCAATGTTACTGAACTCAGAGTAGAGACTGCAGCAGATTTTTCTTGTGTTATTTCTCTTCTTAAAATATACAGTACCAAATATGCTCAAAAGTGGCAACCATTCACATTTCTGAACTTTATTTTAATAACACTAATAAATAGAAGTAAATAATTTAATTGGTACCACGCTTCTAGATCCAACTTCATGTAAATCTTCTTTGTAGATTTCTTTCAGTTTTTCAAACTTACATTAAATGCTCTGGTTAAACATTCCTATGCTATATGAACCACTTCTTCCAGCTGAAAACTGTTCTACTGAAAAGTCAGATAGCTTTATATAACCGGAAATAAAGGAGGCTATGGAGATTTTTATGGTGTTATAACAATAATATTACTTTCAGCAATCAGCAGAAATTAAGTTAGAGCATGCAAGAAAGAGCAAGAGCCTGTTCAGTGGCATTAATTCTTTTCCTAATAACCTGGAAGTAGATAAGCTTTACAAAACACTAGCATATTTTAATATACATCAACAATAGCAATTATGTTCTTCATTTAAAAAACGCTACAGTATTACCATGTTGAGCAAGCATGGTCTCAACAGCTGCTATTTCAGCCAAAAAAGAAAAAAATGAGGGAAAAAAAAGAAAAACAGCTTTTCTACTTGTCAGATACCTTATAAAAACAACTTACAGCGAGTTGTTTACTACTAGGAAATTGTTAGTCTGCAGAAACAGCCTGTTTTACACGTCTGATTTCAAAAACTTTCATCTATGGTCTAGATTTCATAAACATAGACCAGTCAGAACTGTACTCACTTTACAATTTCACTTAAATTGCATTACAGATCCAGAGGCAGTTCATCAAAGGACATATTGCAAGTAAACCAGCAGATATGAAAGGGCAAGATAGATGTGTGCAGCATTTATCTTTCTAAACTCTGAAATATCAAGTTTAAAAAAAAAAAAAAATCTTACAAAAATGGTTCTGCTACTGCAGTGCTCTACTAATTTCTCTCACTCACCCAGGGGCTTCTTAAAACAGTAGGTCAGAAATCTGCTCCTCTAAGTTCCTAGCTGAGACAAAGGTTTTAAGTAAAATATTAGCAAAGGCTACAATTCTCTCTTTTGCTATCAGTCTACTCAGAACAAAGCTACCATACCAGCAACTGATGTTTCCATCCAAACAGAAAACCTACCCTGCAAAACACCAAAATCAATGGTCTTCATGTTTAAACTCCTAAGGGATGAACTGAAATTTGAAAACAAAAACCCTATTTCCTAGTTCCATATCCTTATCATGGAAGAATTTTACCTAAAGAAATGTTAAAATTCATTTAAGAAACTTGAGGCATTAATTTTTTGCGCTGCATTCAAGAAGTAATGGCAGCATAAGAATTAAGTGATTGAAGTTTTCTTAATTTTACTGCATATAAATGATGTAAATTTTGATCAACTATTCCAAAGTGTTTTTTAATATTCCATTCAAAAGACCCTCATTTCTCTGTATGGCTATTTTGTATTACTACGTGAATCTGCCTATCTCAATAAAATTTCAGGCTCAAAAGCTAATGAGTTGCATTCAAAACGGTCAAAGTTGATGTACTTTCAGAGTAAAAGAGAATTATAGGGGAAAGATGAGGAAATACTAAAATCGGCAGTATTTCAGTACTAACATTAAAAATACAATATTAATAAAGCTTAATCAACAGCTGACAGTCTCTCTTCCCTATGACATGAATTTTAGTATTCATTCCAAGTAAAACAAAAGCATCTTATAAATGTTTATTCCTGCTAACAATCAAAGGGGGTACTTCAAGGCTGTTTTTTGCATCTCTTTAGTTTCCCTCTGGACCACAGTGCACTAAAAGTTCAAGTTAAAACAAGAACATCTGGGCCTCACCTCTGTCACTGAAGTCATCCACCAGGATGATCTCTGCGATCAGGCTGTCTGGTGTGCGGTTGATGATGCTGTGGATCGTGCGCAGGAGCGAGGTCCAGCCCTCATTATGAAAGGGGATGATGATGCTCGTGTTTGGTAGCGCTTCCAAGTACACCTTGTGCTTACAGCTGCAGAGGCAAGAAAATAATTGCATAAGCATACTGAAAATCTGAATTGGTGTATTCTGTCATCCATTTAGGCCATTCAACCAACATGGTTTCTAGCTAAAACTCAACAGTGCAATCAAGCAGTAATTTCATGTGAAAACAGCTGGACTGTTTAAAGCACACTGCTACAACAGTGAATAAATAGGAACAATGACAAAATTTAAGTGGAATGAGTGAAAAAAAAAATCTAACTGGATGGAATTATTTTTCCTTCACTGAAAACTTTTTCCTGCAGCATGACAGATGACATATCTTCTGTGACATCATTTCCAAAAACCAAATCCTGTTATCAAAAAGAATTCCAAAGCAAAATATGAAGCTAATCTGAAATGATTGATTGGTCTAAAAAGAGATAAACTCTAGAAAACAATTCAGTATTATCCTGGGTGATATGTGCTTACAATATGAAAAGCAATATCCACACATACAACTCCAGCTTCACATGTACAGATCCAAAATGACTGCTCCTATTAAGTATAGAGATAAAACAACACACAATTCTGGAAGTGCAGACTTATAAACAAGGAAATGTATACAAGCTTTCATCTTTGAAAGGAAAGTACTGTACGTTCAACATCTTAATTGCACAGCAGCTATGGAATATCAGTGCTTAACCTGACTGTTTTCAATATTGAGTTGTTTACACATTTCAGAAAGAAAAAAACATAATACTCAAAAATAAATAATGGCCATGCAAATCAATGTCTCCTAATATCCAAAAATATTTTATGACAAATATTTAGATTACTGCAACTGATAGGACTGCATCTTTCATGTTTTGTTGAAAAAAAGAAAAAAGGGACACATTCTTCTGTTGTTAACAAAGCCTGGCATTTTCACCTCTGGGGACAAAGTAACTGAACGATTTCTCATTCCTCAAAAGAAAGTCACATCCTGATAAAGGTATCCCTAGAGCAGAAACCTGTCAGCTTTGCAATAAGCAAACAAAATTAAAAGTTTAGACCTGCAAATTCTAGGTTTAAAAAAAAAGTATAGATATCTTTGCTCCTTCTCAGAAAGCATAACTATGCATATCAAAAATGTTTTTTGATTTACATATATTTACAGCTTCGTTTGCATTTCCACTTTATAAATGTCATTTAGAAATCAGTATTTACCAATACATTATACAGCTACCACACTGACGAAATGTTCCAAAGAAATAATAAAAACTCATAGCTACTATAGTTGTATTTGCAAATATTAACTGTTATGTAGCTATAAATAAACTAACTAGGTTTTAGATATCTTACTAAAAAATAAGATTTAAATTTTAGTTCAGACTTTTCTTCCTAAAACATAGTAAGAATTAATTTAATGACAAGCCATTTTCTGAAATAAGCACTTTGGAAACATTTTAGTAAGCAGCTTGCGGGTAAAACACACATGCACATTGGAAAATAGACAGATGCTTTACAATAATGTCATTTTCTGGAGAAAGCAGTGCTCATTACCTAGTGACAGAAAAGTCTAAGTATATATATTTAAATATTTTGTGAGTAAAAGAAAATCCACTGCAGGGAAAGAATTTAGTAGATATTTTTTTCCTACTTTTAGGAACAAGTATTACAAATGAAGCCCATTATTAATACATAGCAGTTTCAGATGGTAAAAAATCCACCTATCAAAACCAACACCAATTGTTGCCACCTGTTTGTCAACAGTGATGTTTCTTGGACTAGAACAAATGCAACTAACAGACACACATGGAACTCTCATGCTATTTTTGAAAGTAAAAGCTTTTCCTTCAGCATTTTTGACTCCCAGTAAATATGATTTCAAAACTGTAAGTGGTGGTAAGTTTCCGCCTCCATAAAACTCCAAGCTGAAAAAAAAGAAACCAAGCAAAAGAACCTCACATAGGTAATACTAACAATTTCTAAAAAGTAAGAGGAAAAAAATACCCAAAACACCCAAACATGCCATTTCCTTTTTAAAAAGTCACTCCTCCAGTATAACAAGATACCTTTTGAAAGCAGTTGTACTGAAATATACATTGTTAATATTGTAACCTTATGTGTGTAAGGATGGGGTAGGTCACTGGATTTAGATATTCTCATTGACAGTTTCAGAGTGATTGCATTATGCTAAAATGTTGAGAAGGAGAAGCAACATTGATGGATTTAGTCTACTACTATTCTAGTCTTCCGGCTGAACAGATCGATCTAAAACAGAGCTACACTTAGAATCTGAGAAAAACATCTAACACTTTCTTAACATCTCTCCATCATTCAACTTTGATCTTTAATCCTCATTTACATTTACTTTTGATTGCCATTGCAAAGCTATATGGCAAAAGCTACATGTGAATTGATTTCTAGCAGAAACCACAAACCACCAAAATATCCTTTTTGTGCTTTTATTAAAAACAAAACAAAACAAAAAAAAAAAAAAAAAAAAAAAAAACCAAAAAACCAAAACAAACAAAAAAACCAAAAATAACCTACTGGTCAGATTTCAAATTAATGGAAATGAAACCCTAAACTTCACCATTTTTTGCTAGGTTTCATAGCAGTGCTTTACTAGCTTTTCTTCAGCAAGTGGAATTTTTACTCATTTTTAGCCCCTATGAGACTCTAACAGCAACAGAAGACCACTGTTTTACAAAGCATAACATGAAATCCATTTTATTTGGCGTTCTATTCAGCACTGTCCGTAGCAGAGGGCAGTGCTCTGTGCTCTGATGGGCTGCAGGACACACCTGGTGAACAGCTGCAATGCCCAGGAAAGGCCCACAAACTGCAACAAAAATGCAGTTAGACCTCCACAGCTGAGACACTGGATGTACCACGAGAATAAAGCTAGGTATTTTCATGAGAATAAACATATATAATGCATGCACCATTTGCTCCAAGTCCACAAGTGTGCTTCTTTATATCCTGAGTTTTAGAAGTGATGCCAAATACCCTGGCTGCCAAAAAGACTACTTAGAAGCTACAAACATTACTTCCTGTTTTAAAAGGCAAATTCTTGAGTCTCCAAAGAAATGAGAAATTGCAATTCAAGATTCTTTCATATTTCCTGAAGAATGTAATTTACTAAAATAAAAAATAAAGCAAGGTTTGGTGTAGAAAGGAAAAATGCTATGTATAAAAGACCACCATAATTTCATACACATTAGGTAAAAGTGTCTAAATTATGTTAAAATGAAACTGAACTGACTACCTACAGAAATATTCTTGTACCCCTTCTGAGCAAAACAATCACAGAGCCTAAAAATTTTGGTGAAGAATTTGGTCAAACTTGTATCAATTTAGCAAATTATAGTACTTGCACACATGAACTCCAATTGTCATCCTCCACATAAAGACATTGCAAATTGCACACTAGGTGAATGTAGGCTTTATGTGGACAGTAAGTATCATTCAGGTAGTTTGAATGGCAGAATAAAAGGTTCAAAAAGCAAAAAGGCTTTCATTGAGGCTTGAAACATTATAAAATCTATAAAGGCCTGGAAATAAAACCTAAAATCAATACTCAAAAAAGGTTAGTAGATTTAAGATGATCACATAGGCAGTTCAGCCAGTTTCAGTGAAGTAAGGGTTTGCTCCAAGATGTAAGTCAGGGTAGAAAAGATGGCAATGTAGGTGATATCAATCAACTTTACTTTAAGCTCTCCTCTTAATTATTAAATCATAGCTCAAATGATAAAGACAAATATATTACTGTAGAGCTTTAGTGTCACATCATATCCTGATTAAGGAATTAAAAAAGAAAAAGTCAGTAGGGAATTGAAAAATGGATACAAATACCAGGTGTTTCAAAATAATTTTAATAGGAACTTATTATTTGCTATTTTTAGCTCGTTTCTATCATGACTATTTTTTTGCCTTTTAAACTGGAATAACTTTTAAAATAACATATGAGGACTCTGCACTAACAAGACTGATTTAAATTGCAAATGAAGATGAAGACAGGTTATTTGACTCTGTTAAATCATTCTACATATATATTATAAAATGGCTTGCTTGAATGAGATAAAGATCAGTATTAACACGCAAAGTTTCGGAAGAAAAACTTGCCATGGTATTTTATAATTTTGGGATTGAGGGCAGAAAACTCAATCAGTCTACCTGAAATTAGTATACTGAACTGATTTTTTACTATGGCTTTGATCACTATAATTTCCATGGAAGTGTTTTCTGTAATCAGCCCTGGCTACATATGTATGCTCATCATTCCCACACTCATAAGAGGATAAATACTTAAAGATGCTAAGAACACATTAATTGACTAGTCTTCCACTGTTTTCATTGTATTTTTCCTCACTTTTATCTTTAACTCCATACTTGTGTTTCTTCAGATAACCAAATAGCTCAGTTCAGCAATATTTTTAATGTTTGGTGTTTAAGGCACCACTCATTCACTTTGCTCAGAAACCTCACACTATATTTTCCTCAGCTTACCTTGATCAGCTACAGGACTAATGCAGTCTCCTTATTAGTGGCTGGTAAGTGATCATCTACAGAACTGGAGGCTTAAGTGCTCAAGGTTTGATGCTGTCTTCCACAAATTATTCCAAGAAATCCTGATCAGTCAGCTTAGCTCACACTTATGCTTGTATCTCTGTGCCATGCTACCCCATCAGCACCCAGCGCAGTGCAGCAGTAAACATCTGCACATCCTGTGGCTCATCCTAACTGAATAGACCAAGGCCTCCAGTCCTCTCCAGAGGATGAATTTGGGATTGTTCCTAGCTCTACAGACTGCCAGACTAGGCTGGTGAATTTAAACAGCTTGCCCATTTCACAGCCAAGACTGGAATCTAGCAACGTATGGGCATGTTATCTCTCTTGTCCTTTCAGCACAGTCTCATCATATGCAGCTAACTTGCCAGCTCTCCTCTTAAGAGCTGTAAAAGGCAGTGGCCTCCAGTGCTTAGTACAATGCTGCCTGGACTACTGATCATCTTATGGAATCCCTTACCAATACTTTCCTTATTGAGGACTGGGAACCCATTT